TATTGTGTGTGTGTGTGTGTGTCTCTGTCTGTGTGTGTGTGTGTGTGTGTGTGTGAGTGTGTGTGTGACTGTGTGTGTGCGTGTGTGTGTGTGTGTGTGTGTGTGCGTGAGTGTTTGTTTGTGTGTGTGTGTGTGTGTGTTCAGAGAGGCTGTGGTTATTCCGGGAACAGACTCCAGTCTCTCTCTATGGAAATATGAAACCAGTCTGTGACATTTTAGAAGCCACTTCCTCCTCAGAACGCTCTGTGTTTGGAGCTGCGCGTGTCGGGAGTTTTATATTTATCCGTGAGGCTGTGAGTCCTAATAAGGCCTGGGCTGGTCCATTTACACTCAGCTGTGGCCGTGTTGTGTAAAAACACCTGCACAAGCTGAAGAAAAACCCAGCGTCGCTGTAATGCTGGTGATCTAGTGCCTGTCATTTGTGCATCCTTTCATCCTCACAGCCTTTTCTGAGGTTTGCTTTCAGGAAAAGAGAAAGAAAATGCTTTTCTGTCCAACTTTTATTTTGCAAGAAATGTAGTAAGTAGATATTGACCGATACTGTTTATTCATAGCTGATTTTTAAGTGTTCTATAGACAATAAAAATACAAATATATATTTATAAATTATAATAATTTAATTGAATATAAATATAAATTATATATATATATATAGAGAGAGAGAGAGAGAGAGAAATTATTTAATAAAATTACATTATAATTAAATAATTTATTTCTATTATTTATGCTTATATTTTTTATTTATGCTTATATTTTAAATTTTAATGTTACATTTTTATTAGTTAATTGATACTTTTAAATTATTTATATTTTTCTTATGACACAATGATAATTATTATTATACTTCAGTAATAAAGGAATTATTAATAGTAATAATTTAGAATAAAATGCCATGTGTTAAGCATTTCTGTAACACGTCTCGCCTGAGAATTAACGGCTGTTATGTCAAACGTTTTGGGAGTTATTCTAATCAAGCAATGTAACATATACTAGTTACCAGTCAGGATTTCACTTTTGTGTGTTCAGTGCATGTTAGCTGGAGCTTCAGTCATTTGAGCCTTGTTAAATTACTGTAATGTGCAAGCGTCCCAGACCTCCCTCCACACTTAACTAGTCTCCTCTCCTGTGTAATCAGACATGCCCAGACACAATATGGAAACACAGAGGAGTCAATGGGATCCGCTCATGAGATCGCCATGGATTGTGAGAGTGGAGCCAGACACCGAAAGCAGCAGCACAGAGACCGAACGGGTAAATACACGTTTTCCTTTCAGAACCAGTCCCTCGGATCAGCCGCACTCATCTCTCGTTCTGTGCTTAACCAGCATCGAGTCAAACAGGGAGGCGGAGTCTCACTGACATCACCGTCGATGCTGCTGCAGCAGCGAATCACGGAGCTCGACCAGCAGAGGGAGGAGCTAAAGATTGAGGTGAGTTTCCTTAACGAACACGAAACAAGACTAAGGCACTCCTCTTCACGCGTTTTGTTTGAACAACGCCCCTTAGCTGTTATAAATTCACTGTAAACCATGGCTTCTTGGGGCTTATTGCTTGAAAGTGCAATACGTCTGATGTAATTTCTCAGTCACGATCAGTAATCATAATTTTGAGCAAAATAATTGTGATTATCAGTTTAACCACAATGCAGTGTGACTACAATGTGATTGACTAAAACTCCCAGGAGAGGTTGATTAACTATGATGAAATGTGCTGTGTGCAGCTGCAGCTGGAGGTGGCGCTGCTGCGCGGCGAGCTGCAGGCCGAGGAGGAGTGTCTGCGCAGGCACACAGAGCAGCTGCAGGTGCTGCAGGAGAAGGACAGGCAGCGCAGGAGCCGGCAGCGGGCCAGCAGACAGAAGGTCTGGATTTCATCGGTTTGTGATGTGTCATCAGAAGGGGTGTGACGGTGCACAAACATGACGGTTCAGTACAGCAGGGGGAAAAAACTAAACATAAAATTGCTTTTTTTAATATTAAACAGTGGATTACTGAACATATTGCTCTTTAAAAAAACATTTTTTTTAATTACAATAAAAATTTTCTTAGGGATAAAAATCTACCTCGGATTCTAGTCAAGTCACCTTTATTTTTATAGCGCTTTTAACAATACAGATTGGGTCAAAGTAGCTTTACAGCATTAATTAGGAAAATAGTGTGTCAATAATGCAAAATGACAATAGTAAATAATACATTTTCAGTTAAAGGCAGGTCATCATTGAATTCAGTGATGTCGTCATCCAGCTCAGTTCAGTTTAAATAGTATCTGTGCAATCAAGTCGACGATATCGCTGGATATTAAGTGTCCCCAACTAAGAAAGCCAGAGGAACCCAAACTCCATCGGGGACAGAATGGAGAAAAAACCTTGGGAGAAACCAGGCTCAGTCGGGGGACAGTTCTTCTCTGACCAGACAAAACCAGCAGTTCAATTCCAGGCTGCAGCAAAGTTAGATTGTGCAGAGGACTCATCTGGTTCCTGTGGTCTTGTCCTGGTGGCCGTCTAGGAGACAAGATCTTCACTGGGGATCTGTCTCTGGGGCTCATCTAGTTGTCCTGGTCTCCGCTGACATTCAGGGCTGTAGAGGTCATCTCTAGGTGCTGATCCACCATCTGGTCTGGATACGTACTGGATCTGGAGGCTACGGTGACCTCGGAATAAGAAAGAAACAGACTAATATTAGCGTAGATGCCATTCTTCTAGTGATGTAGCAAGTACATCGGGTGTTATGGGAAGTGTTCCCGGTTCCGGTTAACGTAATTAATGCAGCCTAAAAATCCTTTAATGGATTTGAATATTAGAAATGTGTTAGTGTGTTATTTGTAAGCCAGGTTAAAGAGATGGGTCTTTAATCTAGATTTAAACTGACAGAGTGTGTCTGCCTCCCGAACATTGTTAGGTAGGTTATTCCAGAGTTTGGGCACTAAATAGGAGAAGGATCTGCAGCCCGCGGTTGATTTTGATATTCTAGGCATTATCAGATTGCCAGAGTTTTGAGAACGCAGCGGACGTGGAGGACTATAATGCAATAAGAGCTTGTTCAAATACTGAGGTGCTAAACCACTCAGAGCGTTATAAGTAATAAGCAAGATTTTAAAATCTATAGGATGTTTAATAGGGAGCCAGTGCAGTGTTGACAGAACCGGGCTAATATGCTCATACTTCCTGGTTCTAGTAAGAACTCTAGCTGCTGCATTCTGGACCCGCTGGAGTTTGTTTATTAAGCGTGCAGAACAACCACCCAATAAAGCATTACAATAATCTAACCTTGAGGTCAT